AGGAGGGCGACGACTGGAAGGTACGTCCCCTCCGCTACGCCGTTGTGGCGAACGCATCGCTGACCCACATGCTAGATCTCGTACCGCCGTACCACTTCCCCGGCCACCACCCCTCTTCCCTCCGACAGCGAGTAGCCGCCCCATATCCGTCGAAATCGTCTGTACCGTCGCGGCGTCGGGTGTCAAGTGTGAGGTGCCAAGTTGAGTCGGACCAAGTAGAGGTGGCGAGGGAGGGTAGGGGTCAAGGGATCGAAATCGAATCCCCCATTGTAGCCATTGGCCATTGTGCATAGAGTTGTAGAACTCCTCAGACTCGGCGTGGCGGTGTATCGAGTAATAGGCGGGTGGTGGCGGGCGGGCGGTGGCGTGATGGGATTGGGGACGCGGCGTGTCGTGTATATAGCCGCTGGCGGCTGTTCGAGGAGGTGTCTGGATGCTTCGGGGGTAGTTGCTTGTTACGACTAGGTGATGACGATGCGACGCCTGTGCATACTCTAACGAGGTCAGATGATACGCGTCATCGCGGCGAGTCCGTCACTCACATGTCTTGACCACTGCGCCCCGCTGCACTTTCACCGCATCGTGACCTCGGCTTCGGCCCCAGTCTCTGCGCGCCTTGCTCGAGCGGACTCAGACGAGCACGCGCCTCAGCTGGCCCGGAGCCACCTCGACGCCGGTGATGGGACATCGACCGCGTCTTCGTGTCGCAGTGCCTCCCCGCGAAGCCCCTTCGCTGCCCTCCTCTTCCAATCGTTCCTGGTGCTCCTCCTCATCCTCCCCATCCTCCTCGTCGTTTCCCTCCACTGCCTCCCATCCGCACCGCCAACATACCACCCACCCACTGGGCAGCACCGCCGGATTCTGCCATTCCTTCTTGCACAGCGGGCATATCCCATACCCCTCCTTCTCAACAACATACCCCTGACCCTGGCCGAACGAGGGATTCACTGTCGCCGCTTCTCGTCCGCCGGGCGGCGGAGTGCGCGGTGGCGTAGCTGGAGGAGTGGGCGGGAGGACACCCGAGGACGGGAGGATGGGAAGTGGTCGTGGTGGGAGGATCTGGGCGTGGATGGCGGAGGAAGAGGTCGAGGAGGTGGTGGATGCCAGGGTCCGTGGGGAGGCGGGGGAGTACCACCATTGAGAGAGTTTGAGGAGGAGTAATAACGGTGGAAGGAGCGGAGGGACATTGGACCACACCGACGCATTGGCATCATGCTGAGATGTCAGCGAGACGAGGAAACAGTTTACGAACAGACAAGTGTCTGATTGACGCCGACTCGATCCTCGGCTTACCTGCGGGTCGTCCGGGCCTCTCCGCTCAACATGAAGACCGAGCCATCGGTGCCAAGGCCTATACGCCGAAGTCTTCTCGAACATGTACGCGAGGTCGTATGAGAGGAAAGTCAAGTCAAGCGCGAGGTTCGCGTACGGGTAGAGCAGCTTGAACGCGCGTTGCGTCTGGTTGTGGTCAGCTAGTGTTTATGCATACCGGCTCGTGAAGTGATACGCATCCGGCTTGGCCTGATGCACCGCTCCTGAGGACAGTATGAGTAGAACCACACTCACCTTGGTGGCCGCTTCTCCCGCAGGCTCGTCCGAAGACTCATCATCGCCCCTCCGCCCCCCAAGACGCTCATAGTAGTCCTGCGCACGAGCACGGGCGTAGGGAAGCCCAACCTGCACTCCTCAGCGATACACCCAAGCGGAGGAAACATCGGCCCGCTTTCGCCCGCTTTGACCCGCTTTGACGTACGAGGAAGAGAAGCAGGCTCCAGCGCTGTCTCCGAGTGATAGTCCTTCGCGCGGGCGGCTCGAGCGCGGACAGCCGGGGTGTGGGGAGACGACGCGAAGGGACGAGACGGAGCTGGTAGAAGTGCTCGGACAGAGAAGCGTCTGCGCGGCGCGAGAAGCGTGTGTCAGCTGAGGATCTCGCGCGTCGCCTCTTCTATATCGAAGACACAACACCACCAGTCTTATAGCTTACTATGCTTCTTGAGGTGATGCCTCTCCACTAGCAGTAGCAAGAACGCGAAGAACTCCTCGTGGTGATTCAGCAGCCGGAGGAAGTATCGCGGGTAATGCTGTGTAAGGTACTACAACGCCGGGTTAGTCCTATCACTCCCTCTCTCATTTCAGCGGAGAAGAAGGGTTAAAAGGAAGTACCCACCGAGAGCACATAGCGGACCACCGGGTGAAGTAAGTCTCTGAGCTGCTCCTGCGCAAGCAGCTCAAAGAGGGACGGGCGGAGGTGGGGCGACGATGCGGCCGGGGAAGGGAAGACGGGTTGAGCGGACGCCATCGAGCTGCAGCACCAGTGGGGCGCACACAAACCTGATCTGCCCCTTTCCCGCTCCTCTATGTGCTGGGTTGAAGAGACAGGGAGAGGATTGAGGATTGAGAGGATCGAGAGGAATGGTTTGGTTCGACAGAGCCATCGGCAACCTGCGAACCGGTCGAAGGAAGGCAGCGGGATCAAATGTGTCAAGTAGTACAGCATGACGTGGTAATGTTTTGTCGCCGGCACCACCCACCGTACAACACCGCCAACACCAAGCACACACAACGCCTTGCCTTGTTGCCTTGTTGCCTTCTCATCAGCACCAACTTCCACCGTCTCCAGACCACTCTCAACAGCTCGAACAGGACACATCCCATCCCGCTCGGACCCGTGCCCGTGCCCGTGCCCCCCGCCATGTCCTCCTCCGACTGGTGGTCACCCTCCGGCTCGACCTTCCAAACCCCCACCCGGCCCTCCCTCCCCTCCTCCAACTCACCCTTCGGCCAACCCCCTTCGGGATCCATCTCCACCCCGTCCTTCTCCGCCTTCGGTCCCAGCGGGTCCACCGGGGGAAACAACGGTTTCGGTAACAGCGGCGCCAATGTCGGCACGACCTCACGCGCTCGGTTCGCGGGCGACGAGCTCGATCCGGAGGATATCAAGATGGCAGAAGGGATAAAGTTCCTGCCGTCCTTCGCGTCCAGTCCCGCGGGGAAACTCGCCCTCGGCACGAGTCCCTCGGCGGGTGGGACGGCCAGTCCGCCAGCGAGGAGGAGCCCGACGAGCAGGTTCTCCATGGGTGGCGCGGAGAGGTGAGCGGGGCGTGTCGACCCACAGCACACCAGATGAAAGACACGAAGTCTTGTCTCCATGACTTCCTCATCGTGGTTCCACGCGGGGACATGATCATTCCCGATCAACATCGGCCTCTTGTTCCGTTATTGGAGCCTTGCTGACCCCCGCAGCGCCGCGAGCCCCCGCGACGCACGCCGCAAAACCGTCACTCAGTTCGTAGACGAGGACATGCCCCCGACGGCCAGTCTGCGCGACGTGTCAGACACGCCGAGTCGAGTCCCGACGGTCACCTCGGCGCTGGAGTGAGTGCGGCGGGTCTCTCTTCTTGCGCATCCAGTGCGAAATCCCAACCATCCTCGCCACCCCCGCTGCGTCGTCTTTGCTCGAAACCTGCATCCCCCTTCGATTTCGCCCTCGTCGCTCTCTTGTTTGATACTTGTTTGCTCTTGCTCCCACACCGTCTCAACGCCGCCACTCCCCACCGCACTGCAGCACTGTAGCATCATTTCTTCGCCCCCCGCAGATTCTCCCTTCTCGCACCTCCCATATGTCCCCCGCTGACCTTCTCTCTCAGACTCCCCCCACCCCCCTCCCTCCTCCCAACATCATCCACCACCTCCCTCCACGTCTTCGGCCCCCCTCTCAACTTCCTCCCGCACCTCGAGCCCTACCTCTCCTCCATTGGCCCCCTCGTGTCCTACCGCCCCGGACCAGAAGGCTCCAACTGGTGGATCGTGACGTACCAGACCCCCACGGCGGCCGCGTACGCGCTCCGGAGACACGGCGAGATCGTCAATGGCCGGTGGATGCTGGGGTTCAAGGTCGCCGGACCGGGCAGTACCGCCGGATGCACCCTTGTCGACGGTGTGGGCAATGGAGTGGGAGCGGGCAACGGTAATGGTATTGGGATTGGGAGTGGGAATGGGAACGTAGGTATTGGAAATGGGAGTGGGAGTGGGAGTGGGTGGGGTACAGGCAACGCGGGTGGGGGTGGAAGCGGGGTCGATGAGAGAACAGGCGTGATCAGTGTCGCAGGAGCAGGAACGCCCATGAGGGTACAGAGCGCTCCGATCATTCGCCAAAAGACTGGAGGCGCAGGCAGGAACGACGATTATGCGTGGGAAGAACAGCCCACTCAAGGAGTGACGAACCGGCTCGCAGAGTGGCTCGTGAGTGGCAATCCAATCCCAGGCGTGACCTATCACCGCCGTCTGCTCTGGTCTTTCGAATACTCGTCACAAGGATCTCGCTGACCATTCATAGTTCGGCAGATAGCGTGCCCAGCGTGTCCCGCGTGCCCCGAATGGCAACGTACTCGATACACATCCCGCTTTACGACTCGCATCACGAGCTGCATATCGTGTGTATATTGTGCATGGACGTATGAATGTATCGCATCAGAGTCACGCTATCGTAACTTTCGGGTTCGCGGCAAGGTCAGCGGCGGTGACACATGAGTAGTAGGGGAGGAAGCGCGGTCGCGAGCGCGCACGTCTGCCTCACGTGAGCGTGTGCGTGAGGGTGTACTTGTACGTGCACTTGTGGGGGAGCATGTACGGAAGCGTGAGTATAGAGCGAGCGAGCAAGCGAGCGTGAGGGGCCGAGAAACGGCGAGGCGTGCGAGTGATCGTGAAGGCGAAGCGGAGCTTGAGTGGTATAAATACAGAAGGTTAGCCGGCGATGTTTGCTTGTGCGTCTGCCCTCTTGCTGCGCTGGATGCGTGCTTGCGGAGACTTGAAGATTGGTTGCACCTGAAAAAGACCCAAATGGAGTGTTGAAGAAACCGAAGAACGGAAGATCGGAAGATCCAAGGCCACCAAGCATGTCGGAGGTGGGAAACGCGATGGATGTCAACTGTTGTTGCGACGCTGTGCGAATGGGGTATCTTGAAGCGATGACTTGAGCGGGCGTGAGTACGTGAGTGTAGTTAGGTATCTTGGTCGATAAGGCGTTGAACGCCCGTTGTCTCGAGACGTCGGCTCGCCACGGCTCTCTCTGCGCGGAACAGTCAGCAGTTGAGCTCGGCGAACTTTCAGGTCTCGCCACCTGAATCGCAGGTCGGAAGCACTCACACCAAGCCGCCGAGGCGGACCACCTGTCGGCCCCATTACCCAACCCCAGCACTTTCCTCCCCACGCCCATCCCCTTTCCCTTCATCTCCTGCGTCTCGTCCTCCCCACCCTCCACCCGCGTCGCGCTACTGCTCCACCCCCCAAGCATCGTCCTCCCCGTCGAAACAGACTTGCCACTCTTACTCGTCTCATCCGACCTCTTGGTCGTGTCCGTGAGACTTCCGCTCCTGCTCCTGCCCCCACTTCCGCTTCCGGTCGGACTCTGGCTCGAGCTCAGCTCGGCGTTCGCAAATTCAGTGGATAGATTCGGCGAGTCGACGATGTCAGCGACTGGCGGCATGCCCTGTGGCACACTCCGCGATGTCGACGGCGCCCGGGTTGGCGGTATGAACGGCAGCGACTCGGCATTGAGCCTCGACCCGGAATGATGGGCCGTGTTGCGACCGAACATGTCGAATGCACGGTTCATCAAGCCGCGATGGTCTGCACGGTTCATCAAGCCGCGATGGTCTGATTGGTCGCGTCCAAACGGATCGAACATGGGCGGGGGCAGATGCGGCGTCGTCGGCGAAGACAAGTCGGGGAGCATGGGAAGCAGGCCAAAGCGGCGAGTGAGAATCTTCCGCCCTCCGAGCTCTAAGCCATTGGACTGGATCAGAGCCGAGGCCGAGATAGGGTGCGCGAACTGGATAAGCACGGATAGACCGGGGGCACCCATGCTGAGGACGGTGACCCTCGTGACGGGACCGAAGTGGGCGAAGACTTCACGAACGACGCCGGCGGAGGGGAAGTGGTTTGGATCCTGCGACTTCAGCGTCTTGTCTGCCAACCCGGCAGGCTCTGTGTACGACTCGTACGGAGTCCTCTCGGCGAGGCATTTTGAGACGCACCAGATTCTCAACGATGACCGAGCACTCCAGCGGCGGGGACTTCCTCGTCGGCTGCATCGGCGGGTGGATCACCCTGTTCGGCATCGCCCCAGGCGCTGGTCCATCAGCCTCGCCCTCAACTCCAACTGGCGACTGGCGACTGGCGACGTACTCGCCGCAAAGTGATTTGCATCCCGCTGAATCAGCGCCCATGACACATCGATCTTACATCCCCTGAGATCAGGGTCAGCCATGCGAACGACCCATTAACGCACTGGATGAGGCTCCCGTGCATTGCATTCATGGCGTCGACAGCTTCGTGGTGCTGCGACATGAGAATGAATCCGCTATATGACAGATCAGTGGCGTCTCAGTCGCATGTGCAGATATCAGGGCCTACCGACGACGGCCCATCCCGTCCAGCTGCGAGAGGAGCGTAGAGTGTTCGACCGTCCCAACGGACAAGAAGAGCGCCCGGAACTGCTGCCTGATGCGCATTAGCGCCGACCGCCAACTTGAGAGAAGCTTGTGATAAGCTGCCGCAGGAAGCGGGCCGACGCGCACTCACTGACTCAGGTCCACCGGAATATTGACGATGTACAAGTTCCTCGGCAACTGGCCATGCGGGTCGGCAACCCGATGCACCAGGCCGAACTCCCTCGACGAGCTGCAGTGCCATTGCGAAGTGATCGGATAAGGAGCACTCGCCGGGAAGGTCCTGGTCAATAACGTCGACGGAGGAGAACTCGGGGACGATCGTGGTGGCGAGAGGTTACCGGAAGCAGTGAAAGGCGGGAGGGCGAGGAACGGACTGGGCGTGGACGGTGGACGAGAAACGGTACTATTCAGAAATATCAATCCTGCTCAGCAGCACCAGCTACATGGTCGAGAAAGACGAGGCGGGACTCGATACTGGGCTCGACCATGCAGAGGCTGGAGTACCATTGGTGCAAGAGGGCAAATGGACACTGATCACAAGCGCACGGCCCACTTACATCCCTTTCGAAGCCAAATGCTCCCTCAGCGTGAGGCACGACTCGACCTCGGCCTCGGATCCGACCCAGACCTGGGCCCACTGCGTGTCCGCGGAGAACGGGTGGAGAAGCACGCCGAGGACGCGCACTGACCCGGGGGATCAGCTTTTGACTCCGCGTGTCCGGCCCGGTTCGCCCATCAGAAGCCCTGATAGGTCGGGTTGAGAACGCGGAGAACACAGCGCTATCGACCTACCTCCCGTGCTGAGGAAGTCGACGAGGTGATCAGAGGTGACTAGTGGGTATCAGCGCGACCACCTTCCCAGCGTGGCTTCATGTCGTCCTCCCTCGCATTGCGTTGCACGCAGTGGAGTGGGCCTAGACAATGGAGCAAGGCTCGCTGAGGGATAGATATGTACGCGGAGAGAGCCCCACCCACCTCCGCTGTCCAGACCGTACAGCCGCACCTCATGCAACTTCCCCGCGGGCAATGCCGGTGCGGAAGGCGGGGTGGGAGGGAAGACCTGCTGCCGAGGAGGGACGGAGGGATGACGGGTGGACATGTCCGAGAGGGAGTCTTCGGGTGTATACACAGGAGTCGAGCCCCAGGCTAGAACGGCGTGGGGAGAAACCACGGAGGCGGTGTGAAGAGGGAGTAGAGGGGTTCGGGGGCGGGTCAGTCGGCAGAAGGAGTGAAAGTCCGAAGTGGGTGAGGGGCGAGAGAGTGAGCGAGTGACGGAGAAAGGGGGCTGAGGGGAGAGAATGCTGACTCGATACCCTTCTAGTGGGAGTATAAGAGAGGGTTTATGATAAACAGAGAGGGAGAGAGGAGAGAGAAGTAGAATGTAGAAAGCCGTGTCAAGGATGCAAAGTCTTGTCAACTATCCCAGTACCCGCCTGGAGCAAGAACAGTCGCGAACCAGTAGTAGTGCGGGATCAAATCCAAAGTGGGGGAACAGGTGGGGGAGAGTGGGGGGCAAAGTGGGGGAGCCGCGGGTGGGTCACACAGTTGTCTCGCGGAAAAAGGATGTCAACGTCAATGGATGTCTCTTGTCCCCTTTGTGACATCGCGACAAGAGCAGCACTTCCGAGATGTCATATACGAACTACTGGCCCCGCTACGCCTGTTCTACCTCTACTTCCCGTCGTGTATCGTATCCCGCTCATCCCTTGACTGACTAGGCAACGATCGCCTGTATCCCGAGTGTTACATCGCAACACCACTTTCCACGCATCACCACACCACACCACACCCACGCCCCACGCCGCGCCATGCCCCTCTCCATCCCCTCCTCGCCGCCCCTCATCCTCACCCCGCTGATCCGCCACCCCGCCGCGCCCCGGATCCCGGCCGTGGTCCTCGCCCTCCTCCGCAAATCATGCGAGAAACTCATCAGGAGCGATACCACCTTCTCGGTGACGTTCTCGCCGCTGCTCTGTCCCGCGGGCAAGAACTTCCTCTGGACGCTCAAGCCGTATTGGTGGGAAGTGAGCCCGGGGCAGTGGGGTGAGTGATGCGCATGCACTATGAGTGTGCGATAGTCAGCTATCGGCCCGTCAGTACGAGAAGCAATGCTGATGCCGTGAAAGAGCATCGCGATGGACAGCGGAACCCCTGTGAGTGCTTGACACGACACTACAACGGACTCCATCGCCGAGTCTCCACTCGCCACGGCTCCTCGTCTGGCTGCTCTCGCCCCCGGCTTTTCACCCAGTACCCAAGCTCCGATCCCCATCGCACCGCCAGCCATCACCCAATCCATCGCTCGACACATCGCCCCCCATCATCCGGCACATCACCCAATCCATGCCCGCTGCGCTTGCTCTCGCGCTGACCCCCCAGACTGCGACCAGCCCCAAGGCCAGTCCCAGCTCCAAAAGCTCTCGCTGGCCATCTCCGATCTCACCCTGGGATCGGTGTACCTCCCCGACATCTCGCAGAAGTGCAGGCTCCGCGCGGAGGAGTTGCTGAGGGTGTTCTTCGTTGATCCGGAGACGAGGTGAGTGGCGCGCCACGCCGCGCCGCGCGTGGCACTGGCACTTTGCTCGCTACTTTGCTTGCTCCTGCTACCCTCCTCCATCGTGTTCTCGGGTTCTGTTCCCCCTCCATCGAGATTTCGGGTTCTGTTACCCTCCATCGTGTTTTCGGGTGCTGTAGCCCCTCCACCGATGTCTCGAGAGGTGTGTGAGATTCCGCGGAGACGAGACGACACCGCCACACCGACGTGACGGCGGGGACACCGCAGCCTCGCTCGCTTCTCTTGTCGCGCTGTCGACGAAGGAAGGCCAGCTCGCGGATGGACGAGAAGAGCCTAGGAGCCTCGCTGACGCCCCGCAGGATGGACCCCAGGGTGATGTACGCGCAGACCAATCCCGGGCAGGTCGAGCGCGGGGGCGATCGCGCGTTCATCATCGCGGTGAGTGTATGAACGTCTGACCAGCTCGATGCCTCATCTCCCTTGCGCCGTGTCCGTGTCAACCTTGTCGCGTCGTCGTCTCTGCAGAGCCGCGAGGGCGACACCGGCCCAAGGTCCCACTTCAGACTCACTCTCCGCTATTCATGCCGATTTACGTGAGACGCTACACGTCCGCTGACCCCGCAGTGCCGCTACCTCCTCCTCGTCACCCAGTCGCTGCCCCACCTGTCCATCCCCCCCGCGCTGAACACCGCGCTGAGAGAGTGGTTCACGGAGCATGTGGACTGGATGGAGAGTTCGCCGCAGGGGCAGGAAGCGAAGGGGTATGGGAATAACATCACGATTTGGTATCACGCGGTGGTGAGTGCGATGTGTTCGGCATTTCACTTCACATCCTCTGGGAATGTTTTGCTTTCCTGTCGGTTCGTGCAGTGCACAGTTGCTCGTCCCAGCCCTACCCTCCCATCCCGCTCCCGCGATCATCTTTCCCCTATACCTCCCCTCCCCTTCTCCTCCCCGACTTCCACTCCGCCTAGTCCTCCCCTAGACATCCGCGCCATCGCAAGCTGACGATCCTACGCCTGCTCGTGCAGCTCGCCACTCACCGCGCCCACCTCTACCCCACCAAATCCGTCGCTCTCGCGCACACCGCCTTCTCCGAACTCCAGCTCGCCCACCCGGCCCCAGCCCAGTTCTTCGCCCGCGAGCTCGCCCGCACCAGACCCCGGCACTACGTCCTCTTCACCCTCGAGCCGCTGTTCCTCCTCGCGACGCAGACGGCCCACCCCGACTTCTCGGCGTCGTACCCCGGCTCGACCCAGCCGGAGCTCGATCAGGTGTGGGGCGAACGCACCCGTCTGCCCCAATGGGTCGTGGCGTATCTTGGGGAGCTGGTATCGTTCGCGAAAACCGTACAGCCAGGGAAGATCGAGACCACCCTCGAAGGATCGGGGCGGTACGAAGCCCGCCTGGCGTGGTTCGAGAGGATGTTGGACAGGTGGGCAGGGAGGAAAGTGGGTCTCGCACAACCCAAGGGAGAGGGGTGGTCAAAGGGTTGGGACGATCACGCTAGGGTCATGTGGGAGATGATCTAGACGGGGTCGGGGGGTACATCTGGGATTTAAACCTTTCCGGATTTCGAGGTGGTACATCGCAGCTGGAAGCCTTCCGGACCGGACTTGACTGACTTGTGTTATAAGTATCTGCCCAGGGCGCCGCTGTCAATGTATGACATGCATGATGTGTATCTTCACTCGCTTCGCCCATGGCTGCATATGCTCTCGGTATCTCCATGCTAGGTATGACCTCGTCCACCCACTGTCGACAATTCCCCTCGGCATCATCCCCATCTGACCTCTGCGCCAAGCCCGGCCAACTCACTCCTCGTCATCCCCGATAGGCAGCGCCGGTGGTCTGGGCAATCCCGGCCGTTCAGCCCCAGGCTTCGACTCCCCCACACCTATCCCCTCAAGCCCAGATGGGTTTGCTGGTGGCGGGGGAGACGAGTGTGACCGGGGTTTGTAGATAAGCACGATAATCAGGCCGACGATCAGGAGGATGAGGAGGAGGATGCATTTGCGTCGACCGGTGTTTGCTTGGTACCTGCAGAAGCAATTGTCAGCGATCAAGTCGAGTACACGTCCGCCCATGTTCTGCGGCTTTGACACGGCTGGATGGTCGACATCCACACGTTCCCCCCTCTCTCCCATGAAGACACGTCTCCCTCCCAACCCCGACCTCATCCCGATCCCCATCCCCATCCAAACGGTTGCAACTCCAATGCACCCCGATTCGACCTCAATTGCAACGATCGAGTCGTGTGTGCGCTACCTCGCCCACCGCCACTCCTGCCCCACTCACCTCTTCGCCACCTTCAACTCCTCCTCCGCGCCCTTCAGCTCCCTCGCGGTGGTCATCACATTGTACTCCACACTATCCAGCACCGTCCCCTGCTCGACAACGAGGTTGCCCAGATCCCTGAACAGCTCTGCCAGCTCTGAGATGGACGAGGCGATCTGCGAGATCTCGGCGGTCCGGGCGGAGAGGTCGAGGTCGACGGCTACGGCGGACTGGGTCTGGGTCTGGGACTGGGACTGGAGTTGTGATTTGGACTGCAGGGCGCGTGATTAGTATCTGTTCTCCCATTCTGCATGAGAACAGAGTGTGGATGGGGGGTGCGATACGACGCGGCGTGACGGGACTGGGAAAAGATGGACCAGAATCAGTATCCTTCCCCGACTCACCGCCTGCTCGTCCTCTTCCAACTCGTCGAATGACTCGGGTCCACGCAGCGTGATAGCCCCCGACGCAGCGAGGAGGTCTTTGTTCTTGATCGCGTGGCCCTGCAGCTCTGCGATACGCGTCAGCACTGGCGTACTTTCGCGCTCCCGGCTCCACGGTACCCCAACCGCTGGCTGTCCGAGCTCCCGCACGCGTCCCCTGACCGCTGACTCTCGGGACCGCCGCCTCTCCGTGCTCCTGCACGCGTTGCCATGTCACGCCGCCGTGCTCCTTACTGTTCTGGCCCAAATCTACTCTCGTTTCCTCGGGACGCCACAACTTCACCCGAACTTCACAGTCCCCTCCCCAGTCCTCATCATACTCTGCGCTCGCCACATCGACTCACTCTGCATGTACACCCGCTGCTTCTTCCTAAACTGCCCAGAAAGCTCCTGCACCTTCTGCGCCAACCCCCGCTGGACGTTTTTGGCGGTCACGACCTCCACGCGCGGCGCCCCTCGGCCTGGGGTGATTGACGCTACGAGCGACGTGCAGCGACGGAAATCCTGAGCGAGTCGGGTCAGTACTCCGCTCGTCCATCCGACTTCCACACCAGGTTCGCGGTGTTTTTACAGAGCTGGGAGGAAAGTAGGCAAAGTGCACTGTGCTGTGCCGCGCGGCGCCGACGCACCCGCGTGATGTCCGCTGTTTGGCGCTCTATTTCGCGTTCCTCCGCCGTCCGGTCTGTGAATCCTGGTAGGACATGCTTTGCGTGAAGCTTCTCCAGCCCGGCGACTGCACGGGCATTAGCAGACTCGACGAGTGCTCCAAGTGACGGAGCAAGCTCCCTCGTTGAAAGGAGGGAGACCGCGCGACTTGCTCTTTGGCTGCACTCGACCCAGTATCTCCTCCACCTCGTCGCTCAC